TATATATATATATATATATATATATATATATATATTAAAAAAGTTGGGAGTTGAAAGGCCTCTCAAATGAGAATAAAAGTAACTAGTAGTAGTAGTAATTTCTTCGTGATTTTGTTGTAGTAACAAAATAAGTAAAAAAAAGTTAAATTATTTGAACATAAAAGAAATAAATGTAAAAGAAAAACACAAAAAGAAGGAGATAAATAAAGTAGATGATAATGGAATATAAAATAAAATATTCTATTTTATGTGAATTAAATACAATCAACCTAAAAAATAGTTTTATGTCAATTAAAATTAAAATTAATATAGAAAATATTTCAACATTTATGATCTAATATACTATACTGCAGATTAGACCCATTATAAATAGTCATTAATTTTTTTATTAGTAGTTTACACTAAATACCTAGAAGAAATTATTGTTCATAATTATGACATCTATCTTATTCTAGAATATATCAAACGAAAGATCTAAGATACACGATCTGTAGAAGAAATTTGGCATTGCTTTAGACAATTAAACTTGATAGTCTTGCAATTCTTTGACGCACACGACTCAAATGCTCAGAATGGGTTGGCAAAGATTTAGAATTTCTACACAAAAATGGAACCATAGAAGAAATATCAAGATTGAACACACCTGCTTGCGTACATAGTTGACCATTGGACCAGAATTAAAAAGGGAATTCGAGCCAACAATGGCCCACAGGCATGTGCACCATGTGTACGTGAGCCATGTTTTTGTGCTTAAAACCCTTCTTATGTCAATCTAAACCTTAATCAATAGTTAAACAAAGACACAACAATTGACAGTTAGCAACATAAACATAATACATGTCACTGTTTCGTTCTCTCAATACTACAATTCAACTCAATTAATATGATGTTTTTATAGGGAAAATAAACTTACAACAGTTTTGTTCATGTGTGTTGCGTCACTTGTCTTCTTCCTACATTACCAAAACCCACGTGGGCCTTCTCAAGTGGTGAATTGCAGAAGAAATTATTATTGGAATATTGATATTTAATTGAGTTCATTTTCCACCAGCTATATTAAGACAACAGTCCTGATTCGATTGGTTGTGCCAAGTGATCACAACTGGAGAAAAAAAATTTATGCATAATTAATCAAACATTGAAAATGGTACACCAATCTCAAGCAGAAGGCCAGATCAGGCTAACACATAATTGGGTCAAGTTGAACAAGACACATTAACAAGCTGATCATATAAAAAAATTCATTTCATTGGGGGCATTGATACTGTCTCCTGAGTTAAATAATTGTATAAAACCATACCACAGAACGAAAACGATGAAATCAGACAAAAGTATTAAAAAATTAGGTGATTGTATTTATTGTAAATTTAAGATTTTATTATAACTTTGATTAGATTAATCATTAACTTGAACGTTGAAGTATCTTTTAAACATGTATAACCTAAACGGTTTAAAACTTAAATAAGAAAGGAATTTGACCAAGAATGTTCAAAATAACCTAAGTTAGACTTAGAAAAACAGTGTAAGTTTGTAAAAATCATCTACCCAAACTCGAAACAATTATGATAGATGAATTTAGTTATATAAAATTTATACAAATTTGTAGTTATATACATCACACTAAAGAGAGAAAGACCTTATAAAAGGTTGAGATGAAAGTATTAAAGAATTTATGGGGTTTGGTGTGCTCTATTTTTGAGGACCTAGCTGGCCACCCCACAAATCAATAATGAGAGTTTTAGATAAACTAGAATGAAGGGTGATTATGAAAAAATCATGGTAGTGAAATTAAGGTCCTACAACTTAGGGAAGGACCCCAAAGAGGGGTTTCTCTTAAAAGGAAAACAACTGTGGAAACACATGAGAGTATAAAAAGAAAGGAAAGCTATGGCCACCATAGAATGAAGACACTAGAAAAAACCAGAAGTAAGTCACAAACAACACCAACAACAACATTGGACTATAGAGTTAAGCTTAATCACATTATTCAATTCCCACATGGAAAAACAAATTAGCTGAATGTAGCACAACTGTGCCTAATGGAACCCATGTTTCTTTTTTATATTCCTTTTTTTAAATGATTTTTTTTTTCTATTTCTTTTTTAAGAGAATCATGATTCCCAAGGCTTCCTTAGCAGGGTCTATTTATTTTTGTGCACCCTCCACTCATTCTTTCTGTACCACACCAATCAAGGTCCCAACCCAACCATGAGAAAACGTAGCAATATGGAAAACGGTGCTGACTTCTTCAATTCCTTTGCCTCAACTTCCACTTCTACCACTTCTACCACCACCACCACCGCCACCACAACCCCTTCAATCTTCATTGACACAACAAACACTTCTATATCTAGCACATCATCGTCATCATCGTCATCGTCATCTTCAACCTCAAACTCCTCAAACTCAGATTCATGCACCAAACAACACTCCAAAACCCCTACCACTTCTCAAACCTTGTTGGAAAATGAAAAGGAATCAAAAGGGTGCTGCAAGAAGAGGAAGTTGGAGAATCCTTCCTATAGGGGTGTGAGGATGAGGAACTGGGGCAAATGGGTGTCTGAAATCCGTGAGCCAAGGAAAAAATCAAGAATTTGGCTCGGAACATACCCTACTGCAGAAATGGCTGCTAGAGCACATGATGTAGCTGCTTTAGCCATCAAGGGTCATTCTGCATACCTCAATTTCCCCGAATTGGCTCAAGAAATTCCGACACCAGCTTCTACTTCACCTAAGGACATTCAAGCTGCAGCTGCAAAAGCAGCAAACACACCCTTTGATGTTAATCATTGCCAAAGTACTATTGAAGATGAAGAAGGACAAGAAGAAGAGCCACGCCAAGCACAAAATGTCTCATCTTCAAGCTCAAACTCAAACTCCACCAATGATGATGACACTTTGTTTGATCTACCAGATCTTTTCCCTGATGAACTTTGCTCCTATTCTTCTTCTTGGCATTTGTGTGCAGTTGGTAGTGGATTTAGGCTTGAAGAGTCACTTTTTTGGGAGAATTATTAGTCAGAGATTTTTTCTTTTTTTTTTTCTGCACAAAGTTAAATAAAAAAACAAAGAGGAAAGAAAACGAGAGTAATTACTCTCATTTTCTCTTGAGTTTTTTTCTTCTTGTTTAGTCTCTGCAACTGCATTCTGCACAGATAATAATCAGTTGAAGAAAAGTTTAAATCTTTCTTTTCATCTGTATATGGGTGTTGTCTTTTGCTATTACTTCGTCCAACACAGTTTACTATTGTTTTCGTGTTTTGGGTTGAATTATGTAAATTACGTATGAATTAGGAATACATATACCATAATATCAGACAAAGTCTCTTTTCAACTGTATATGAAAGGTCTTTAAAATCATTTCCTTTAATTTCGCCTCAAAAACTTCATAATATTAGGCAAATCATTTCTAGTTTATAATTTTCTTTGACTAAACTTCAACGGTTTACTAAATTAGAGTATTTAATCATCATTTTAACACAAGAAAAGTCTAACTTGACATATAGATTTAAACTTAAATATTAAATACACAACAAGTCTTTTTATCGAGACTTAATTAAGTTTTAAGTAAAATTAATTATCTTTAATTCAGTTTTTATTAAAAAAAAAATTCATCTTTTGATATTTAAATTTTTTATATTTTTTAATTAAATCCTTCTTGTTTAATTTTCTTTTATAAATGGAATGACAAGACTATTTTTTTATCCTGTCATTTTTCTTTTATTTTCACGTATTAAAATGTATGAAATTTTGTGATTAGTAAAATAATATTATAATTAATTTAAAATAACAAGTAATTTTTACTGTTTTTTAACATTTGAAAATAAAATTCATGTGATCCAAGACAATAATTTAATAAAAGAATATAAAAATTTAAAAATAAAAACAAAGAATTAAAACTTAATTAAGTTTATATATAGGATTATTAAATGAAT